AAAAAAAACACTCAAAAATAGTATATAATTTATATATATAAAATCTATATACATATTTATTATGTGCGCACTTTACCATACATACATAGTTTAGTCTTAAAAGTACAATCCACAATGACTACAATGCTTTGGGCGTGGCAAAGACTGTGCAAGTGCAATGACCAATTTAAAGTTTGGCCCAAGTTTTCTACCAATTTCTGTTGTTATTTGCTCATTTGATAAAAGAAAGAGAAGACGCAGCTCGAGTCTGGCAAAGGATAAGGTATATTAGATATTTTACTCTCAGTTGCAAGTTGCAAGTGCCAGACTAATGTACCCCCACTTCAAAATTGTGCTGTGAGACGCGACAGGATGTGGGCGAGGGCGAGGGCGAGGGCAGGTGGTAAGGTTGTGGGTGGGCAGCTAGGTAGGTCGGGGGTGTTGACCACTCAGGTGACAATAATTTCGCGCTATCGCGCCAGCCGGAATAAAGGTGAAAGAGTATTAAAAACGGGCGACTAGTTTGCGTGTCACGCATCCATTTCGTTGTAGCGGGCGAGGCGTGTGGGGTATAGAAATTGAAAATTGTCAGAAATGAGCCCAACAGGCCGAAGAGTGATTGCCAACATGCATCGCATCTATTGGCGTGCCAGAGCTAACGATTTAGCTGCTAGTACATAAGTATATTAAGTTTTTCGCGTCAATACACTGGAAATAAAAGCAGAGAAGGGTGTGTTGGCTTTGCCCAGATATAATGGTATGCAGCTAAAAATTTGCACTTGGAGATTAATTTATCACATAGAATAATTCGAAGTGGCAAGGGGATCAGCTATTTTTCGATTTACATAGAAATTCAAATTATCAGAAATTATTGAGAACGAATATTGTGTAAGGGGATAGAATTTGGTTTCGATTTATCACTATTTTCGATTTAGCAGGGAACAAATTATCGAGACTCGACTCTGTATAAGAAAAGAAGTATTAGTATTGAGAGCATAGTAAATAAATCTATATTTAGTGCCCATAGAAGTGGAAGAAATATTTACATATAAATGGCTTGTACTCAAAATTCTCTTGATAGAGTCCTGATTGGCTGGTTTCTTCTCTATTTGACAGATCTGAAATATGAAAAAATTAATTCGAAATATTTTCGTACTTTATATATAAAACATTTATTGGTCTAATTAGTCCACATTAAACTCTTCAACTTCAACAGTAAACCAATATTACATTGTTGATTATACCCGACTGCATGATTTCTACTTTGCTTTGCTTACTTTACCCAGATCAAAAGATATCGAAGCTAGAGACTTTTATTTTCCAACAAATTCAATTTATTTTCGGCTTTATGCCTTAAGGTAATCATAAACTATTGTAATATTGCTGTATGTTATTATTTTCTTTACTTGAAACATATAATCATTTCATACTATTATATTCAAAATCACATTTCAGATACACTTATCTTGCGCAAAGAAATACATCTGTGTTAAAATATTACTTTATCTTCTAACACAAGGCAAAAACTATACAAAATATATAAAAAGTAAGATAGTTTACTTTTTGCTTGTAAATAAAAATGTTTTAAGGACACACAATCAGAATCCTGAAAAGGACCGATTTGTTGGACGTTGCTTGTAATATATACAAAACACAATAGCGAAGCAATATATAACTAATTGAAAAATATCTACTCATTTTGTATACCAAAACTATCCAAATTGAAAACGATGAATCAATTGTTGTTAATGAATTCGAGATTTATATTTAAAGTTTTCATCGATAGGCGAGTATAAGCAAGTCGATTGTACCCGATTGGACTATTCTCGTTTGTCCGCTTCTCTGAAAGTGGAATAGAGCTCAGCGCTTGTTGATATTGGTCAAAGTTGGAGTTAGACGCTTGCGCTGATATATCTTTTATTATGTAGTTTTGTGTCATCGTAAAATCGTCGGCTATTACTTGATTGTCCTTCATGAAAGCCATAAAGGCGCTGACAGCTCCCCAGAAACGAAACCGGCCTACGGGTGCCATTGTAAAATGATTTACTCGCCTCACTGCTAGCTGCTAGCTGCTAGCTCCGACTTGCCCGCTTCTCTCACTCATTTGTGGCGAACGAAACGTTTTGGGCTTCTGCTCCATCTACACCAAAGACTACTCATTTTTTATGGGTTCGTTTCATTTTTTCTTTGGCCTCTGCTTTTACGGTCTTTTACAGTTTAACGACGCATTACTGACACACAAACTCAGGCAACCAGCTACGAAATCTATTCATGATTTCGTATAACAAAATACTCTTCACATTTTATCGTATTCATTCTGTGTGCCCTGTCTGTCTATTAGGCCAGGCCGCATTTGATATTTGGTTTTCCGTTTCCCGTTTCCCGTTTCCCGGTCTTCGCTTTTAATTTTTGGGCGTAGCAATTTTCTACCATTTTTATGATATGCCATTTCGTTCGTCATTCCCTTTGTGTGTATACTCTATATTGATATACATATATACATATACATTTATATATCTATATATATCTTGTACTTTAATTTCGTACTGTGGGTTATATTTTTGCTGACGAGTTCGTTATTTTTTTCACAGCCCAGCATTAAGTAATTTATACGGCCCGTATATTAGAACAATTTCGGCCTAATGGACGTCTTAAAAATGCATTAGATTAATGAAACTGGATTTGTTTATATGCGTATTTCGATCTATTGAAAGCAAGTTCCCGCTGGGGCCATGATTTTCGATTGAAAACCAGAAACAAACTAAAATTTATATATATGATTTTATTGCAGATTATTAAAAATTTCATTAGCAGAATTTTATTAGTGAAATACTTCAGGAATT